TTTTTCGATAGAAATTAATTTCCGGGTAAAAGGTCCCCTAGGGGGTTACACTGCCAAAGTAAAGAACTGCAGTCAAAAATTTCAACCCCCAAAACGCTGATGCCGTAAGACCTTGTGGCTTAGCAGGTTTATAGTCTTTCATTGCCAATTTTTTTTCCATAGCTGCTCCCCTTTAACTGAGTTGCTTAAAAAGACTCCTTTGTTTTGGACCTTCCGTCAAGAAAGACATTCCAAAATCTAAAAAAAAAGCTAACATCTCTCCAATTTTGAAATTTTCCCAATTTTTTTTTAAGCCCCTTTTATCTGACAACGAACAGTTCAATTGGCAAGGCCCGTACAGCTCAGAAGACCGATGGGAAGTACAACGCATTTTTATTTGCTACCGAGTCCCTTTCAAGGGTAACGAATTAACAGTAAAATGACAAGAAGCTTTAGCAATGTTGGTCTTTAAGCACTTTTCCAATTTTTTTCAGTAATCTGTTCTGTCTTGACAGACCAGCTCCCGAACCCTTTATCCAGAACAAAAAAACCCACTGGAAGGTAGCCCGATGGACCTTACTATCCAAAAAGGTTCATCCCACCTTTGAACACTTTCCTGGCAAGCAAATGTAGTCCAGATCCCTTTTTCACGACATGTTGTATAGAACTGAGACCCCCCATTTTTGTGCGAAGAGTAAAGAACTCAACGAAAAAATTCCGTGGTCTGGTTTGATTTGATTTCCCGCCCAGGAAAATCTTTTTTGATGTGAACCACCACACCCATCATGACTTTTTCATGAACCCAAAAAATTACTTACGAACAGCCATTTGGGTACTTAGCAGAAGATATTTCCAGTTAGTAATTCCCACAGCCTAGGAATGTGCCTTTAAACTAGTTCACGATGTCCGGTTCACACCCTGGTAGGATCGTTCAAAAACAAGCCAGATTGAAATACTTTTGAACTCGTATGGCAACTGTATTTCTGGTATGTTAAAAAAATGTGGCTGCAGCAAGAAAAGGGAAGCTAAGGCCCTAACCAATCCAAATGTATCCAACTACGCGAACCTGGGAAAGAGTTTTCCTAGATTTTTTTTAACTAATTTCCCGTTCCCTCCAAGGGAAAAAAACATCTGTGGTTATGGTAGACCATTTCACCAGATATTGTGATTTTTTTCCATTTCAGATAAGACTGCCGAAAAAATTTGGAAAGCGTTTAAAGAAACCCTTTTCTGCAGCATCCACCCCCAATCCCTGGAACGATATGGAGGTGAATTCTTAATGAAAAATTTTTGAAAATTTGTGCCCTTGTACAAGACTCAAACCACCCTTGTTCCCCATCCCTGCCACAAGGGGTTTGCAGAACGAAACCCAATAAAAAAGTCTTGATGCTTTAAGGCCACTTATCAATCCCCAAAAGTGAAACTTGGGGGGAATTATACCCGATTTGCAGTGTGCTAAAATTCGCTTACAAAGTTTTTTATAGTTGGGCACCCCATTATGATTGTACGGTTAGAAAACGTTTGCCTTATGGTTTGTTATATTCAATCCGAAACCAAATTAAACCCGAGATTTCTAGCAACCGACAGCTTAGTCAAAGTGTTTTTAGAAAATCCTTTTAAACCTTCAAAATCAAAAGCAAAATTTACAAAATCGCAAACACTCAGCAAAGCCCTCCCAAAAACAAAGTAGGTTTGAGAGTTATGGACAACTTTTAACAAAACCTCTGCAATGCCAAAACTTGATCAAAATTTGTTGGTCCTTATCGAGTAGTTGAAATATCACGGGGAAAAAGTAATGGTTAGGAAATTGTAAGGGCAGTATAAAAAAGCATTTGACTATGAAGTTGTATGTGATGATAATGAGTTTTTCCCAACCAGACTAAGGAAGACTGACAAACCCCGATCCCTTTCTCTTTCCTCATACTCAGTCAACGATCAACCTGAATGTCGTTATTCCCTACGTACACAAGGGATTTTAGAAATCCTCAAGTATATTTTAACTTCCAAAATTCAGATTTGCCTCAAACGCATGATTTGCCAGCACAGATTTTTATCCTCCAGGAGACACCCATTCTCATATTCAATCTTCCCCCGCAGATTGGGGTTAAATTAAATAACCGTATGAAATAATTTCAGTATCAAATTATAGTATCAAGAATTTTTTTTTTTTTTGTTTACGTTTCTCCCAATTCTGGAGTTAACGTCTAATTTGAGTGCAAACCCAATCTGCCCCTTTTTGTTAAACCTCTTCTTTGTATATTTCCTTTCCCCAGAAACCGTAGATCACATGAAAAAGACGATCGATCAAAATTTTTTTTTATCACTTTTATTTTTTTAAAACCCAACTTGAAATTTCATTCGTATTTGCTATATTAACCTTTTATTGCATTACATTTCGTTACTAAACTTTCCCTTCCAAGTTCTACTTATGTAGTTTTTAATGTTCAATTTTGGTACTTGACATTTTAAGAATCACCCCCCGGGATACCAAGCCGGAAAAAAAACCCCATCTTAGTTTGAAATTTTTGATTCGGGGCGACATACTTAGCGTCGCCGGCTTCAGTAGAGTACCATTTTCCCTAACCATGTCCAGTAATGACTCACTACCAACCCCCCTGCTGAATCAGTCGTATTCATATTGTGCTGACCACAGCATATTTTCAACACCCTTCACTATGGGGACTGGGGGTTTGTTTGTCTTTTGAAGAGAGCAAGGAGGCAGGTCACGGCTGTTTGGCGCCTCACATTATCCTTAAAAACGAAAATTCAGCCCACGCGAGTATTTCTTTTCCCCATCCACGGTTCGAACCCCACATATAAAAGACTGCGTCAACACCTTTTCTTTCATCTTAAGCAAGTAAGTACTTTTTCTGGAGTTTTTGAGTTATCCTGGGAAATTTTAAATATGTAACTTGTATTTTGTGTACCTGTAGACAAAGATAGATTTAAAGAGAGAGACAGAGGTCGACAGACAGGCCTAAAATTGGGTTAACATACTTTCCTCTTTAAAAAGGGGTGTTAATTGACATAATCATGAATCCTTGGTGTTTGCCGCACTTTTGCTCTAGCTGGGGCTCAGTTTTAAATGGGGCCCACAAGGACTAAGTGGGCCCGATTTTTTAATATGGTTACACGGATGTTAAGACCCATTTTAACTGAAAGGCTCTCAGGGGCCCAAAGGCCAAATTTTGGGGGCAAAAAAATTAAAAAGTATAATAGGCCCTACGCATAAAACGATAATGTTTGGACTGTTTTGGGGTTTAAACCATGGAAATCATTCTCTTTTTCTTCTCAGCAAAAATAATAATATTAATTACGTCAATTTACTCAGTAAGTCACAGGGCACTCAATAAGTCAGTCAGGAAATTCAGAAAATCATCATCATTCAAAGCTGTCAAGCATTCAGTAAATCTGTCAAGTCATTCAGAAGCAGCAAGTAACTCAGTAATCAAAACATTCAGTAAGTCAAATCACTCAAAATCATCAAGTCATTTATTCATCAGTCAAGCATTCATTTATCAGTCAAGTCATTAAATTCAGCAGTCAAATCATTCATTCAGTCATCAAGTCATTAATTTTATTTATCAGTCAAGTCATTCTTCAGTCTTTAAATCATTTAGTAAGTCAGTCAAGTCTTGTAGTCAGTCAGTCAGTACAAAACTCCTGTTAACCCCTTTTTCTGGTACAAAGTAACACTTAATTATGTTTTTTTGGTTCACAGATCAATTCATTTTGATTTTTTATTCCCATAAGGAATTTTTATTCACATCAAAAAATAAAAGATTTACTGTTATGCAATATTTTAATAATTGTATAAATAACATCAATGCATTCACGAACACACATTAGACTCACCAGCTGATATGTATTGGACGCGTGATGTGATTTCTTTACTTTTGAAGATCAGTAAAAATTGAACATTTCCCCTACTTTGAGCTCAATTTCAAGCTATTTCCAGTATTAAAATCAATCACAGTCACTCTTATTTCTGTAATATATCCTCCAGTCTATCAAATGAGACTAAGAAACTGCGAATATAACTGTAAAAACCATACAAAAATACACCACAAAGTCGCTGTTTTAATCCAAAAACATGGTAGCCGTTTTTTTTTCTCATTATGCACTGTGTGCTGAAGGATTTGTTTCATATGGTGCACACTTACCACACTGATGCATTTTCTCATATCTAGGCCCAAATTTACCACCCACAGCTCATCTGAGTGAGCTGAGCTTATGGCGTAGAACTACAGCTTGGACTCTGGCTTCAAAGCAGTAGAACTACGGGATGGACCCTCAAAAGGTTAAAGGGAAAAACTTACATTTTCTTCCTTTTAGGTCAATCTGCTTTGGTGGGGGTGTGGCCGGTTCGTTAAAAAAAACAAAAATAGTACTTCAGGGCTCATCAAACAATTATCATCTTATCATGTGCCAAGATATGCAGCATTCTATTCTCCTGGAATAATTGGAGAAGCTGTAACATGAACACTGGAGAAAGTGTTCAGTTCTGCTTAGATCTTTTCTTTCATGAGAGGATATGAAAAGTGCAAATGATAAGGTACTAGCAAATACAGTGGAACCTCTACTTGCGAGTTTAATCCGTTGAATGACCTTGCTTGCAACTGGATTTGCTCGTTTGCAGTCAACCTCCAACCTTTTCAAGGACAACCCCTACCCCACCTTCCTTCCCTTACAGATTTATACGCTCTCCAAGTCATTCTACTTTGATCCATTCTCTCTAAATGACCAAACCACCTCAACAACCCCTCTGACTAATACTTTTAGTAACTCCACACCTCCTAATTTCCACACTATGAATTCTCTGCATATTTACACCACACACTGCCCTTAGACAGAACATTTTCTCAGAAAAAGAAAAATGTTAAACAAAATCAGATTTTCCAAAGTATAAGAAAGTAGATGACTAAAAAGAACAGTTTAAAGTTTATACTATAGCAAAGAAACAATTAAGACTAATTCTATGATCACAAGAAAAAGTCTACTCCAAATTGTAATTTACTTACCTCATCGCTTTCTTTGTAGTCATCATCACCACCTTTTGTTACTTCATCAGCTGGTTTTGGCTTTTTTCTTTTAGGAGCTACTTCTTCATCATCATCATCATCTCCTTCCCATTCTCGTTTTCCTTCTACATCCTCTTTTTTGGTTTCTTCTTTCTCAACCTCTGTTTTGCTTTCGGCACTCTCGTTTGTCTCTTGCTCTTGCTCATGCTTCTTTTCTTCATTAGCTGTTGCTTCCTGTTGCAATTTGTTTTCCTGCTGTTGATGCTTGTTTTCCTGATGATGTATATTCTCTGGATCATGTTTCTGTTCAGGTTCAAGCTTCTTTTCCTGTTCCAGACCCTCCTCTACCTCTTCTTCCTCCTCCTCCTCTTCCTCTTTCTCTTCATTATCACAGATTTCTTCATCATTTGCCTGGATTATATTGTCTATGTCTTTACCTCTTCCAGCATTTCCAGCACCTGCTGCAGCCTCCATTTCATCCTACAGATAGAAAAAAACAAAAAACAGTTTAAAGTAGGTTACAATCTTGGCTCTAATCCTTTCCAGTCTTTCAAGCCAAAGTAACTGCTAATACTTCTTCACACATTTTAGCTATTTGCTGTGCCTACTTAAATATTTTACAGAAGCTTTAGTATGTATTCTACTTCCCCTCCCCCCCTCCCCCCCAAAAAAACTAGCAATATGCCAACACAAGTCCAATGTTCAGGAGTAAGCAAATCACACCACAAGTCCAATACATGTCAACTGGGAAGTCTAATATTCTTTCACTAGTGCACTGATATTATTTATACCATTTTTACAATAATGCAGCAGTCTGCATACCAGTAAATTTTGTATTTTTTTGTATGAATAAAAAATCAAAATAGAAAGCAATAGTAATATAAGAGGGGCCTAGAGACGTGACTAATGAACAGAGGATATGTTATTTTAGTGCCAAGAATGTCTACATTGTTTATTCTGGACCCTATTTTGAAATTGGCATCTTTTTTAATTTGTGTGAAATTGGCCAAATGGCCAATTTCTGACCACTTTATTGGGTAGTTCAAATCGGTAAATGGGCGGTTTCTTGTACTCAACTGATAGATAAAATGGAGTTCTAAAGAAATAGCTATGAGTTTGGTTGACTAGAGCAACGGAATTGGCTATAAACAGGGCTCTAAGTCAGCGAAATTGCCAATATGTATATGTCGCCGAGACCGCTAACTTCACGGGAGTGTAATTCCGTGAGTTTTCGACCAAATTTCATTCTTTTGGTGTCACTACCACCGGGAAAAGATTCTCTATCATTTCATAAGAAATTTTTTTTTTTTTCAAAAATTTATCGACATAGAATGACAGTTTCAGAAAGAGCCTGCGACAGTCAAAGGGTTAATGCTCCTAAGAGCAATGTGTGGTGTAAATATTATTATTATTATTTTTTTTTTATTATCACACTGGCCGATTCCCACCAAGGCAGGGTGGCCCGAAAAAGAAAAACTTTCACCATCATTCACTCCATCACTGTCTTGCCAGAAGGGTGCTTTACACTACAGTTTTTAAACTGCAACATTAACACCCCTCCTTCAGAGTGCAGGCACTGTACTTCCCACCTCCAGGACTCAAGTCCGGCCTGCCGGTTTCCCTGAACCCCTTCATAAATGTTACTTTGCTCACACTCCAACAGCACGTCAAGTATTAAAAACCATTCGTCTCCATTCACTCCTATCAAACACGCTCATGTACGCCTGCTGGAAGTCCAAGCCCCTCGCACACAAAACCTCCTTTACCCCCTCCCTCCAACCTTTCCAAGGCCGACCCCTACCCCGCCTTCCTTCCACTACAGACTGATACACTCCTGAAGTCATTCTGTTTCGCTCCATCAGCCCTCCTTCCTCAGCCCTCTGGACAACAGTTTTGGTAATCCCGTACCTCCTCCTAACTTCCAAACTACGAATTCTCTGCATTATATTCACACCACACATTGCCCTCAGACATGACATCTCCACTGCCTCCAGCCTTCTCCTCGCTGCAACATTCATCACCCATGCTTCACACCCATAGAAGAGCGTTGGTAAAACTATACTCTCATACATTTCCCTCTTTGCCTTCAAGGACAAAGTTCTTTGTCTCCACAGACTCCTAAGTGCACCACTCACCCTTTTCCCCTCATCAATTCTATGATTCACCTCATCCTTCATAGACCCATCCGCTGACACGTCCAACCCCAAATATCTGAATACTTTCACCTCCTCCTACCTCTCCTCCAATCTGATATCCAATTTTTTCATACCTAATTTTTTTGTTTCTCAAAACCTTACTTTTTCCCTGTATTCACTTTTAATTTTCTTTTTTTCACACCTCCCAAATTATCCCCCAAATCTCTGCAATTTTTTCAGAATCTCCCAAGGCACATTTGTCACCGCAAAGGGCACTGTGACAATCCCACTTTATGTGTGATTCTTTATTTTTAACTCCACCCCTCTTGTCAAACTCCGCATTTATTCTCTTACAACCCCCATTATAAAAAATTTTAAACAACCACGGTGACACCCAAACCCCTTGTCAAAGGCCTACTTTTACGGGGAATAAGTTCCCTTTTTCCAAACATACTCTAACTTGAGCCACTTCCCGTAAAAACTTTCACTGCTTCAGTAACCTACCCCTACACCTAACCTGCAACATCTGCCACATTGCCCCCTTCCACCCTGTCATATCCCTTTTTCCAAATCAAAAATGCCACAAAAGCCCTTTTTAGCCTTTCCAAAACTGTTTCACTTATGGTTTTCACTGTAAACACCTGGTCCCCCCACCCCCCTCCTTTTCCTAAACCCTCCTTGTTCATCTGCTTCCTATTCTCCGTTTTACCTTAATTCTTTCAATAAAACTCTACCATACACTTTCCCAGGTATCTCAACAGACTTACCCCCCTATAATTTTTTGACTCTTTTTTGTCCCCTTTCCCTTTTAAAAAGGAAATATGCTGCTCTCTGCCAACCCCAGGTCCCTAGATGGGGAAATTAGGAAAAGGGTGGAGTTAATAAAGTATTAGTCGAGGGTGAAGAGGGTGTTGAGGTGGTTTGGTATTTAGAAAAAAAGGGAAAAAAGTAAAAAAGACATGGAGAGCGTAAAAATCTTAGGGTAAGGAAGGCGGGGTAGGGGTCTCCCAAAAAGGGTTTGGGAAAGGGAAAAGGTAAGGGGGGTTTTTGTGGGTGGGGGTTTGGGACTTCCAGAGGCATGATGAGGTGTTCGATAGGAGGTAAATGGAGAAAAATAGTATTTGGGACCTGCGATCTGTTGGAGTGTGAGCAGGGAAATTTTTAGTGAAGGATTGGGGAAAGCGGTTTTTTTTATAGCCAAATTGGGGTGGGGGAAAGGGGGGAAAAAGTACAATGCCTGCAACTAAAGGAGGGGTTCGGGATTCAGCGTTTGGGGGGATATTTGTGTACTATTGTTCTAAACTGTTGTGTGCTGAGACCTCTGAAAAAAACAGGTTTATGTGTGAGTGAGGTGAAAGTGTTGTTGATTATAAAGTTTTTTTTTTTTTGGGGGTTTTTCTTTTTTTTTGGGTCACCCTGCCTTGGTGGGAGACGGCCGATTGTTAAAAAAAAAAAAGTGATTATTATTATTGTTTTATCATTAATATGGCATCTTCAAGTAGTAAGACACCTTAGTGATTTTAATGTTTACTTGCATCAGCACGTGTGTAAGTTTACTTGGGTACAGGAACCCTTACTACAGTTATAATAAAAATGTAGGTATGTACCCCACCGGGCTAATCCTACCCCTCCTCTAGCTACACAAAATTTAATTTTTCCCCAGAACATATTATCCCATCGACATCCACGTTCCTGGGTTTAATCATTTTAACAACTACCTTTAGATGCCATATAAACAAAGGGAAAAGTAATGAATTTTCAACCCGAGAATTGTAAAAAAAGCTCTAGCGGCTTTAAATCAAGCAGGAAAAGCTGGTACCCCAAATGTGAGAGAATGGGTTCCATGGTCAGTGTGCCCCATATAAAAAAATTGGGGGACCCAGTGGGCTTGTGGGAATGCCATTTCATTTGTCCTTTTCACATGCTTACGGTAAGAAATATGTGACTCCCAAAAATCGGGATTTCTCTTCCAATGATGCTCAAACGCGATGGAAGTGTCAGTGAAGATCATTTCTGTTTTTCCCCCAAAAGAAATGAAGGGGGGAGGAGGAAGAAGAGGGGAAGAAGAGGGGGGAAAAAAGGAGGAGGAAGAGGGGGGGAAAGGGGGGGAAAGAGGGGGGGGGAAAGAGGGGGGGAGGGAGGAAAGGGGGGAAGAGGGGGGGGGGAGGGGAAAAGGGGAGGGGAAGGGGGGGGAAAAGGAAAGGAAAAAAAAAGGAGGGGGGGAGGAGAGAGGAAGAGGAGGAGGAGGGGGAAAGGAGGAAGAGGAAAGGAGGAAGAGGAGGAGGGGGAAAGAGGAGGGGGGAGGAAGGGGGAGGAGGGGGAAAGAGGAGGAGGAGAAGAGGAGGAGGAGGAGAAAGGGAGGAGGAGGAGGAGGAGGGGAGAAGGGGGAAAGGGGGGGGGAAAGAAGAGGAAGAGGAGAATAGGGGAGGAAGAGGAGGGGAGGAAAGGAAGGGGAGGGGGGAGGAAGAGGAAGAGGAGGAAGAAAAAGAGGAGGGGGAGGAAGGGAAGGGAGGAAGAGAAGGGGAGGGGGAGGAAGAGGGGGGAAGAAGGGGAGAAAGGGGAGGAAAGAGGAGGGGGAAGAGGAAGAGGAGGAGGAAGGAGGAGGAGGAAGAGGAGGGGAAGGAGGAGGAGGAAGGGGGAGGAGGAAGGAGGAGGAGGAAGGGGGGAGGAGGAAGGAGGAAGGAAGGGGAAAGGGGGGAAGGAGGAGGGGAAGAGGAGGAGGGGGAGGGGGGAGGAGGAGGGGGAGGAGGAGGAGGAAGAAGAGGAAAAATTTATTTTTTTTTTTTTTATCACCCCGGCCGTTTCCCCACCAGGCAGGGTGGCCCGGGGAAAAAGAAAAACTTTCCCATCATTCACTCCATCACTGTCTGCCAGAAGGGTGCTTTACACTAAGTTTTTAAACTGCAACATTAACCCCCCCTTCAGATGCAGGCATTACTTCCCATCTCCAGGACTCAATGGGGCCCTCCCGGTTTTCCCGAACCCCTTCAAAATTTTAAATTTTCCACCCCAAACAGCACTAAAGTATTAAAAACCATTTGTCCCCATTACCCCTATAAAACACGCTCACGCATGCCTGCTGGAAGCCCAAACCCCCTCGCACAAAAAACCCTCCTTTACCCCCCCTAAAACCCCTTCCTGGCCGACCCCTACCCCCTTCCTTCCTCAGACTGATACATTTTGAAGTCTTTCTTTTTCGCTCCTTCTCTCTAATGCCCGAACCCCTCAACCCCCCTTTCCCTACCCCCTTGGACAACATTTTTGGAAATCCGCCCCTCCTCCTAATTTCCCAAAACTACGTTTTCTCTGCATTATATTCACACCACACTTCCCCCTAAACATGAA